TTTCAAGATCCAGAGGTCCTACATGTGCCTATCACAATGTGGTGTACCTCATCCAGTTCATCAAGTGCCCCAACAAGAACTAGGTGGGTGAAACCAGACAATCGCTGCGCTCTTGAATGAACTCATAGAAAAATGATAAAAGACAAAGGCACCCTGTCGTTGGTTGGTTGAACACTTTTCACAAAATGATCACTCCATAGCTGACCTCTCAGCCCTCATCCTCAGTGGAAACCTGCACAGCACCTTCAAAAGACGAGCCTGGGAGCTTAAATTCATAACTTTGCTAGATGTCTACACATCCAGCACAGCTGCAGTCTGTCTGGTAGATGCTCTAAAACCACCTCTGCGAGCGGCGGTAGTTGTGTCGACAGGAGAAGCCCTCCTGTGCACACTGGCGCTATGTCAGTGTGATCTATGTCGCTCAGGGGGTTCTTTATTCACCCACCTCCCTGAACGACAAAGTGTGCATGGACTCAGTGGAGACACTGGCTTAAGTCTCATTACAACAATCTGTAATCCACTAACCTTTCTTTGTCCTATGACTACAGGGGTGTTAATTGCCCATTTATGGTGTCTTGCAACATGCATTAACTCCTTATGCTTAACAATCTGTTCCACCTTGTATTTAGCTGTGCTGCTCGGAGTACCTTTCCCACACCTGATGAAGAGCTGAGAAAACTTGCCTCTCTCACCAACAGAAGTTGGGCCAATAACAGATATTGTTATCACACACACCTTGTGTGTCTCATATCCTGGGACCAACATGGCTACATAGGGTGACCAGATGTCCCAATTTTATAGGGACAGTCCCGATTTTTGGGTCTTTTTCTTATATAGGCTCCTATTACCCCCCACCCCCGGTCCCGATTTTTCAAATTTGCTGTCTGGTCATCCGATGGCTACAGCAACACTGCAAACCACTTTCTTTAAAGTCAGGATTTCTCTTTAACTGGGTGAGGCTGAAAAGTCACCGAGCCACCAACTAATTCAGACTATTTGATGCTGTATTTGCTCTACCACATAACGAGGGCTGGGAGGGATGGATGGAAGCGGACAAGAGAGACCCAAGTGCGACGCTCCAGAGATTTCAGACGTCACGAGCAGCTGGCTAACAAGGCGTGAAAAGCACAGATGTGCACAGCTACAACGAAGCCAACAGCTGCATGGCGAGATTTCGCCGGTGAGGTTCTGGAGCTAGGAATTTTGCAGGAGGGTAAGAGATGTGCAGGGTACAAGCCCGCCCCTCGATTGTACGGATTTCCAGTTCTTCAGTGTAAGCCATTGATGTGAACACCTAGAACACAAATGTATGGTTAGAGCAGGGGTCAGGACTGGAGAGTTCTAGTCCCAGTCTGGGAGTGGCAGTGCTTCCTAATGGTTTAAGTAAGGGACCGTGGCTACGTGTTCACTGCAGTGTTTTTACATCACCATCACTAACTCCAGCTATCTGTCTCGATGTAAAATCCTGGTGGAGATGAACCCCTGTCTTTTTCACCCCATCTAGCTAGTCAAGGGCAACTCCAGGTGGGTGGTATAAAGTTGACCTCAAATAGCTACATGAAGATAAAAACCACCTGTGCCTGGTCTCCATTGGGCCTCTACATCCAGATAGCTGGTTCCATGTAAAACACACACCTTCAGCGTAGTGAAAACACAGCCCCTCAGGACTCCTGGGTTCTAGTCAGGGTTCACGGCCTGACCGGAAGTCACCCAGCTTTACTGTTTGCAAAGTGATTTCAGACAGAGGTGAAAAATCCCTTCATTAGCGAAGGGCAAATAATAGTAATTCCCACCCCCCCATCACCATCAAAGGAAACAGAGGGCTACTATCACCATCCTCTCTTCGGTTTAGCTTGAAAAGCTTGACCCCCGCGCGCCCTCACCCTCCACACACACAAAGCCAGGCGCAGTGTCGTGCAGAAGGCAGAGAGCCACCAACAACGTAGTCAAATTTCACATTGTTTTATTAAAACAAAATCCAATGGTTATAACTTGCTAAAAGTTCCGCCCCCCCTTCCCCCTTTTCTTGGAAGTTCAATTTCCAGTTAAATTATTTGGGCAATTACAAAAGTAATGATCACAAGACCTAAAAGTTAGACACAGAGCCTGGACAGTCACACTTAACTCACCGGAACACATGCAGAGAAGCCATCAGATCAGTGTCACCGTATCGTGTGTGAGTACATACAGTGATTGCACCAATAGAGACCACTGCTTATGGCCCAGAGACCCTGTTGTGATTCAGGAAGCAACAGGTTGCTCTCCGGGGCATGGAACCTTCCTCATTCATGTGGAAATCCTGTGCAGCAGAACTCCAGGGGAAAGCTAAGGGCACCTCCAATTAATAGCTATCATTTAAAGGCAGTTTCTAAATCCACTGATTTGGCATCAAAGAAAAAAAAAAAAAAAAGTGCAAAGCCTAACCCAAACTGGCTGTCAGCACCATCCGTCAGGTGGGCTAGGAATGCCACGAACCCTCCAATTCCCCACCACACCACCATGCTGCCTTTAACTGGCCTCCACCCCCAGCCCTGCAAAGATGACCAGCAAGGGGGGAAATGGAACGGTCACCAGAGCTGAGGGCGGCCAGTGGGAGGCGTCGTAGGACGCACGGACCCAGCGGCCGCGGTGCTGGTTCACACGGTTTAAGTGGTGTTCTCTCTCTATTTACTGGGGTCAGCAGAAGACAGGAAAGGAAGGATAGAAAGGGATGAACAGACGGATGGAGAGCACAGGAGGAAATGGAGCATTTCTCTCTGTCTAGTAACTGTGGGCTCCATGTACATCATACCAGGACAAACCAGAGAAATACCCAGCGGTGTTCTTGCTCTTCTTCTTACAGCTTGTAGAAGAAAAATGTGATTGGGGAGTGATGACCCATGTTCATTTCCAGGGATTCCAAAGAAAGTGGGCTCAGTTTACAAGTGAACAGGATGATCCCCCCGACGCCGTCCAAGCTGCCGGTGCTGTGACACCAGCTGGGATCCGCGAGCCAAGCAGTGGTTGTTTACGTCAGTTATCAATAACCAAGCGTCGAACGTTAAGACAATTCCACTGACGCATGAGGCAGAGTGGGGTCCAGACTGTTTGGTGCTGCCAGGCTGACAGAGCTAACAGGAGCAAAGACTGGGTGTGGCATCAGGGGAGGCAGGTAAATACTTGGTGCTTTTCCAGCAGTAGATCTCAAAGCCCATTCCGAAATGGGGGTGAGGACCATTCCCCTCCCTCCGCCCCTTTCACCAACAGGGACCAGAGACGTGCTCAGCACCCAGGACGAAAGGGCACATGGACCTTGCCCAAGATCACTAAGCAAGTCAGAACCCAGGTCACTCCCCACCAGCCTCATGCTCAATCCAATGGTCCCTACCACTCGGACTCATGGGGGGCAGATATGTCGAGTAAGAAGGTGCCACAATTAGCATCCCCTTTCTGACCTCAGGCATCATCTCTATTCCTTGGGCAGCTCAGCTCTCCACCCTGATGTTCTCTGCCCGCCCTACACCAGGAACTGGGCCCTGCAGTTCACCTGGGGACCACCACTGCCAGCCCTCAACTGCAGCAGGGCACGCAATAAAACTGGCCCCATGCAGAGGCAACAGAGGCTGCCCCCTTTGTGGGTAAATACACCGTTCTCAGGGCTAGCACTGCACGAAGAAGAGATCTTCAGCTTCCCTGGATGCCCAAAGCTGACAAAAGCCACACACCCACCGGTCTTTGACACCAAGATCTAATCACGGGGACCCTGCCTGAGATGCAGGTGAGGACACCTGTAAGTGTGCACACAGCACAATACAGTAAAAACAACAAGGAGTCCGGTGGCACCTTAAAGACTAACAGATTTATTTGGGCATAAGCTTTCATGGAGACTCCATGCATCTGCAGAAATGGGTTTTTTACCCATGAAAGCTTATGCCCAAATAAATCTGTTAGTCTTTAAGGTGCCACCGGACTCCTTGTTTTTGTGGATACAGACTAACATGGCTACCCCGATACACAATACAGTAAGGCATCGACTCCTCCCTTCCCCCCACCCCAGCTGAAGTGTCACCTCCCTTCCAAAGGCAGCGATGAGAATGGATGGCTGGACAGCACTGACACACCCCGGATGCCCTACACACCCCAATGTCCCTCCCTTCCAGCCAGCCCTCCGGGCACAGCAGCACCTGCCCCACGAGCCCATTGTGCTGGGAGTGGGACAGCAGCCTTGCAACAGGTGGTTTTCAGCCCGGAGGACTTGCTGCCCGGGGGAGATCCAGGGAAGCAGCCTGCAGACGCTGCTGAAAAGCATGTCAGCGCTTAGCAATACATCCCGGGAAAGATGCTGCAAAGCCAGCTGGATAACTGCCCTGCCCTTAGCAAGAGGAGCCATGCACTCCTTTGCAGTACCCTGCAGCTGGACACCAGCCACTGAGAGAAGCTGCACCAGCCTCACACCAGCAAGTTTCTGAAGCTGGATTTTCCCCAGGCAGCCAGATTCTCTCTCGCCCAACCCAGTATCCAGGGACGCTGGTGGGGCTTCCAGCAGCTGTAGCGAGAGAGGACGATGGCACGACAGGCGGATTTGCAGCCACGAGGGCTGGTGCCTTCGTATTGCCCCGCGAAGCTGCTTGTTTCAAGTCACCGGGAGGCCAGCCCTGCCAGTCTCTGCACAGTCACTGCGACCGCTCCCAGCCCTTGTCAGCACGCATTTCTCAAAGCTGCAAGCCAGCTCCCAGCGAAGGGGACAAAGACGAGCACGCTGTCAGTTCCTGTCAGGGGACAGCGCCTCAGCAAGGTACTCAGGGCACAGGATTAGCTCAGGCAAATGCATCTGTGGGGTGCAGGCACAGAGGGGAACTTGGAAAGCGAAGCTGCTCGGGAACCCGGAGTTCAAACCCAGTTCAGCTCAAAACCAGAGGCTGTTTCTGACCTGCCTGCAGACTCACAAGCAGCTTCAATGTCACCAATCCAGGGAGGCTGGGCTCCAGGCTCCTGCCATAGACATGTCTGTCAAGCAATGGGCATCTCCCATTGCTCCCACCCATGATAAAACAGCATCTGAGCTGCCACGCTGTTTACCCACTGACAGGTGCTAGCCCGCCGGCCCTGGAGACTGATATCCCCACGGCACGGAGAGCGGCCAGGCCAGTTAACCCCCCTGGAGAGCAAGCCTGCCCCAGGGAGGCCTGCCGTAGGGCACGAGGAGTCCTGTTGAGGGCCAGGTCAATCCTTTGCCAGTGGGGCTGGTGCTTTTCCTGCCATGGCCACCTGTTTACTAGGACCCACCAGCTCGGAGACTCCTTGGAGGGCAGAATTACATGGAAACAAAATCCACGTCAAAGCCTTCACTGCTCCCTAACCGAACAGGGCAGCAAGAGGCTGGATGGACACAGCATCTCCCGGGAACGTGCGCTCCGGCAGCAGGGAACCAGTGAATCCCTTAGCACAGGCCGTCACCTGCGAGAGGCACTATCATTTTAGCACAGGGTCACCGTACTGTGTCCCCCCATAGGCCACATCGGCCACTTGCTCGGAGTCCAAGGGCTGCCTCTAAGATCGCTGCTATGGGGAATGCAGGTGCCAGCTGATCTACTCGATCCAAGCAGCCATGTGAACTCCAAGGCAAGGCCCAGGCAGGTTTATTCTACGGTGCCCCGTGTGAAGGGAGGAATTTTGTTCTACACAGCTCTCGGCTACTGGGGGATTTTGTGGGGTTTGTCCCGGCTGATCTCACACCAGGCGCGACACTCCCTGCGCAGGGACGCTACACCCACGCCGCAAGTGTTAAAACTCAGCCACACGACGGGTCCTGCCTGGGGAGAACACAATGTCCAGCTGCTCTCTGGGCAGCTCGGGGCAAGCCTGGCGCTGTCGCAGCAGCGTTTGGTGTGCAGAAGGGACACACTGTGGGGAGATTCGGCCATGGCAGAAGCATGTAGCTGCTGTGCCGTGCTGCTGCCAGCAATGCTCCGGGACAGGCAGCAGCCCCGCAGCGGTGTCCAGCCACCAGGCGGGCCAGCCGGCGAGACACTTGGAGAGGTGCCCATGTGGAACGGGAGGAGGGAAGCCACCAGCACCAGTGATTTCCTCGGTTATTCGTGCTTAGCGTGAGGGAGGGAGGCCCCAGCTTTCCACCAGGGAAGGGAGAATCACTCAACAAGGGATTTGTTTTACCTGCAAACACCATAACCCCGGCATAGGCCTGTCCGTCACCCCACCATCCAGCAGGGCATGCAGCCAAACCGCAGCACTCACAGGAGCTTTCCTCCCGGAGACACGGCCCAACCGCCAATGGGAGCCTGCACTGATCCCTCCCAGCTCCACCCACAGCCCAGGCAGCGGGATGGGGAGCCCGGGGTGCATTTGCACCAGGGGATGCCAGGGGCAAGACGTGAATGAGCCGGAGCTGAGGGATCCACACTGCTGGGGAACACCCCTCGGGTCAGCCAGCAGGGTGTGCCTCAGCCGGAGGGCACGGCGATTCCCGGGTGCCCACACGGCCTGGCTGCTGGCTTTCACAAGGGGTCCAATGGCAGACAGAGGGGGTTGACTTCGGTGCTCTCAGGAGAAAGGCCACAGACTAGCAGCAAGGCAATGGCTTTGTGGCAAGGGGGCTCCTTTAATGTGGCGGCTTCTTCAGCCTGCTTTAAAAGACACATTTATTTCTGGTGTTCCCTAAAAGTATAAAATTGAGAGGGCAGGGCCTGGGCAGCTCCCATCTCTGCACGGCTGGCACCACTGGGCGCCCATCTCCAGCACATGATTCCACCAACACGGCCGGCCAACCAACCCTCCGACGTCATTCCCCGCCGCCCTCCCCACGCACACCAGTCTGCAGCTTCTCAGACAGCCAGCCCCACGGGGAGAGGCAGCCGTTGGCTCTTGCCAGCCTCCTTGCTCGGGTCTGTGCCCTCCGCTTTCAGCCACTCCATCTTCTGCTTGTGCTGCTGCACCGCGTCAGCCACGCGGGCGTCGATCATGGCCTCGGTCAGGACGCCGTCCTCGGACGCATAGGCTGCAGCCTGCAGGGGGGAAGAGAAGGCCAGGTGGTTAGAAACGGAAGGCCCCGGCCTCCTCCCTCCTGACAATGCTCATCACCTTGGTTCCTGAGCACCCTGGTACTGGGCCTTGTCTATCCTGCTAGCCACCTAGTTGCTAGTGCAACTGCCCCAGGGCAAACCGGCAAAGCTGCTATGGGCATGGCTTCCTGAAACCAGGGTAAGATTCACTGGGGCTAAAAGCAGTTTTGTCTGTCTGCCATAGAGGTTTGCACTGGGATAGCTGCACTTGGGGGCAGAAAACAGGGCAAATCCCCATCATGGACAAGGCTGTGGCTAATTTCAGTTTTTTCACCTTTGAACGATCAGAGGCAGCAAGTCTGGTCTCGCCTGGATTTGCAAGAGGGTCAGCGAGCTGCCCTGGAGCGCTCAGCCCTCACTTGAAGGGCTGGCATCGCGTGCAGAGAGATCTTCCTTCCCGTTCGACAGGCGTTTGAATTAAATCGGGGTTAACATCAGACATACCTTCCCCCTCTTTGCCTCCACCATTGGAGCAGCCTCACTAAAAATCCCTTTCATTGCTCGGGTTTCCCTTGCTTCATCCTGTAACCCTAATAGTTCTCCAGTTATCCACAGGGCAGACAAGCCCATCACTTCTCACGTAGCAAACAGTAACAGCAACACACTGTAGCTTTTTGGTGGTAAAAGAGAAAAAACAACTCTTCCAGGGCTTCTCTCCACATCATAAAGCAGCAGAGAAAAAGAGACAATATTTCACTCGCAAATGCCACCTTTTATTTTTAAAAAGTGTATCCACTGCAAATCATTGCAAAGGGAAAAAAAATATTAAAGCACTCCTCTTTCGGGGGAGGGGAAGCTAACTACACACACAGCCTCTTACAAAATGCTACAGATGCAAAAAAACTGAGACACATAAAAGACTAGCACAAAATGTAAGCCTGGTTATAAACCCATATTGATCTCCCCACTCCAGTGAGGAACAGAGGTCTCCATTCAGCTTGTGCCTCAGAACTGAGAGACAAATTATCACATGGCAACAGCCAGGCTTGTCTATTGCTAATGAAAGGTGCTAGACTGACCGCCCGAGAGACTGAAAACTTGCTTGCCCACGATAAGGTGCAGCATGACCCCGCAAGGCCCCCACCCTGGCCAATGTACTCCAGTTGCTGAGCTGAAGGGACAACACTAGTGGGGCTGAAGCCCCCAGCATCTCTGCTAGGAATCCCAGGCAGGGTCTGCCCATTGGGAGGGTCGGGGAGGAGACACTCCCCTCAAGAGGGCAAGTTCCAAGTAAATCCGTTTTCCACCTGACCTTGAGAAGGAGGGAGGGTGAAGGGGACACTGACAGAGCCAGCAGCAGCAAAGCGAGGGCTACAACCTGCTGGAGCAGCTGCTGGCGTAGCAATCACCTCTAGCGTTTTACAAAACCTTCCTCCTTGAAAAAGAAAGAATATAAGAACGGCCGTACTGGGTCAGGCCAAAGGTCCATCTAGCCCAGTGTCCTGCCTACTGACAGTGGCCAATGCCAGGTGCCCCAGAGGGAGTGAACCTAACAGGTAATGATCAAGTGATCTCTCTCCTGCCGTCCATCACCACCCTCTGACAAACAGAGGCTAGGGACACCATTCCTTACCCATCCTGGCTAATAGCCATTAATGGACTTAACCTCCATGAATTTATCCAGTTCTCTTTTAAACGCTGTTATAGTCCTAGCCTTCACAACCTCCTCAGGCAAGGAGTTCCACAAGTTGACTGTGCGCTGTGTAAAGAACAACTTCCTTTTATTTGTTTTAAACCTGCTGCCCATTAATTTCATTTGGTGGCCCCTAGTTCTTATATTATGGGAACAAATAAATAACTTTTCCTTATTCACTTTCTCCACATCACTCATGATTTTATATACCTCTATCATATCCCCCCTTAATCTCTTCTTTTCCAAGCTGAAAAGTCCTAGCCTCTTTAATCTCTCCTCGTATGGGACCAAACCCCTAATCATTTTAGTTGCCCTTCTCTGAACCTTTTCTAATGCCAGTATATTTTTTTTGAGATGAGGAGACCACATCTGTATGCAGTATTCAAGATGTGCGCGTACCATGGATTTATATAAGGGCAATAATATATTCTCCGTCTTATTCTCTGAGTGTGAGAAACAGGAGTGGAGAACGTTGGGTGGAAGAAAGAGCAGAAGGAGCAAATGCAGCTCAAGAGGAGAGGAAAGATTCTAGCCCCTCTCTGATCCAGAGGAAGGGCTGACTAGTGGTCAGTGCAGTGAACTGGAAGTCAGGACTCCTGGGTTCCCTTGGCAGCTCTACCGTGTGAACTAGGCAAATGGCCACCTCTCTGTGCCTCAGCGTCTCCATCTGTAAAATGGGACAAGTCCATGTGCCCCATGGCGGTGTTGGAGGGGGATCAATGCTTCGAAGTGCTTTAAGCCCCTCAGCTGGAGGTGTTCCAGCAGTGCTAAGAATTATGGCAGCATTTCAAAAGAGCCAACAGAGGTGTCAGCCTGTCCTGGCCTCATTCCACTGGACAGCTCACCTCAAATGGAAGAACCCCCCTTTTCTACACCCCCCCCTCACTAGACTGAACTCCTCCCCTGAGCGTTTTCACCCACGAGCCCGCTTCCTCTGTGGACTCAAGCCGCACACGCTAATTCCTGCCTCCGATTCGTGAAAGCACGACACGTCATGGCAACGTACGTCCCGAATACAAATCAGATTGAACAGTTCTGGGCATGAAGGGCTGGCAGGAGCTTAACTCGCTTCCTAACAGTTAGCAACTTCAAAAGCCACCAGCAGCAGACCGGCCACTTGCCTTGTGTTCTGGCACAACGTCTTGTGTCACTTAGCCGCCCCCACCAGGAGTGCTGGGCGGTAAGGACAGACACAGGGAGCAGGGAGGACGGCCACACTCTTTCCGCTATGCTACTCAAACTTGAGCGCCTCACCTTCCCTGCTAATTGCAATTCTGCCCCAGCCTCCACTGCCCCTCTCGTTTGCTCCCTATGCTCCCCTCTCCTGGACCTTGACCCTGCCAAATCCTGACAGCACCCTCCCCTCCCCGTGTGCCAATGGGAGCGAGGGTGCTTGGCACGATGCAGGATGGATCCCCTAGCTCATCTCCTCCCCCACGCTGGGAACAGTCCCAGACTCCTTGCCACCTGCCCGCGTCTCCTGCCCCCACTTTGTGCAAAGCCAGACAGCCCTGCGCGCCACCTGCCAGCACTGGTCCCCCGGCAGTCTGGCAGTGGGGCTTCCCCACGGATCCCAGGTGTCTGGCTGAATTAGAGGAGAAGCTCTTCAAGGCAGAGGCCGCGTCTTGCATCTATAAAGCACCGCGCTCAAGCACCTGGCTCCATAAATCATTAATGAGAGTCTGACACTGAGGCTGCCAGGCAACACGGTTTGCAGCATTTAAGAGCCAGCAGCCTATGAAATGGAACGCAATGGCTTCTAGCTCCCCCAGCCTGTTCTACAGGCAGACAGTAAACGAATCCAAGAGGGAGATGCTGCACAGCACTGTATCAGCAGAGGAAGGGGATGGCTTCACCTGTTCGTGTGATTCACGCCTCCCCATTACAGCAGGATCGGAAACGGTTCTCTCCTAATCACAAGGCACAAGGTTCCCAACTTGGTCCTTGCCCCCCTCCCAGCCACCCTCTGCCCCTCTTCTTCCTCAGCCAGCTGGCCAGCGAGCAAGTGGAGGAAGGCTTATCTGGCCACAGCAGGGCACTCCACTGGACATGCAGTCCGCGTCCGATTCCCAAAGGCTGCATCACCCTCTCGTGTCTCCACCCGGGGAGACACTGGGGTGTAGCCTTGCAAATTTCTGCACTTGCCCTGGGGAAAGATTTTGTGGCAAGCAAGGTAACAATTGGTCGCCATCACCTTTGCAAAGGCGGGCACGCAGAGTTGAGGCCGGAGCTGGGAAGTCTGCACGACAGCTTCGCTCGGCTGCTGCGGGTCACGCCCGGGAGAAGCCAAGACCCACAGGGGAAGGCAAACCTTGCCAGCGCAAAGAGCAGGCAGGCACAGGGCAGGAGTGTATTGCTTTTTGACTGCAATGGGCATCTGAGCACAGGCTTCCCCTCACAAAGCCAAGGGGACGTCCCACTCTCATCCCTCCCTAAAGGCACAGACCTGGAAAGGGAAGCGGATTTAAGTGAGGTCAGGACACCCCTCCCTCCCTTCCTCCTCCTGAGGAGCTGCTTGATCCCTCAGCAGGTGCCGCTTTGCAGCCCAGCTCTCAAGCTGTAACTACTTAAAGCCTCCTAGAGAGTGATTGGTTGGGGCAGGCAAGAGGGCTGACTGCTCACAGGAGGGTGGGGGCTGAGCGCAAGAGCCTGAGCAGGCCCATGGCAGAGCAGTTCAGCTTGCTCGCTGGTCACCTCTTCAGTCATGGTTTAGTAAGTCCAGAAGGAAGATTCCTGCCCCCCGGGGAGGTGCTGGGGGCTGCCGATCGGAGCAGAGGGCTGGAAATTAGGACTGCTCCATTCTATGGCCGCCGAGTCGCTGATGCACCTGAGATAGGCCTGTCCAACCTCTCTGCCTCCCATTTCCCCACCTTGGAGCAGGGGTAAATTCCCAGCTCATGGAGGTGTTTGTGCACCCTAAAGTTAGCGAACAGCCTCAAGGCACGTGGCTGAGAAGCGCTGCAGGAGGGGAGGAAAGGACAACGTGCCGGGGCTGCCACACGCTTGTCCTCCACATTCAAGCCCTTAAACAAGGCAGGGAGGCTTCATGCTGCGCAGCGACATTGCAGGTCCCATTCTGCAGCACCCTGGCAAGGGAGCCCTGGCATCTGACTTACTGACCAGCCCGCCCCCATGAATGCTCATTATAAAGTGACGGGAGCCTGGGCAGCCCCTTCTCACCCAGCACCTGCTGCGGTGAAAAGGCTGGTTTGAACATCCCTTCTTCATGGCTGTGTAGCCCTTCTCGGGATGCTCCCAAAACTGCCTGTTTTCCCCCAGGGCAGCCCTGCAGTCGGGAAGATCTGGCATT